GGAGGAAAGTGGGTTAGGCAGCCCCACGTTGAAGGGGAGGCTGTTGGATGAGAAGATATATCGTGTAAGATAGAGAGGGATGGTAGGGAGGTTGCTCGACGACGATGAAATTTGTTTCTTTTCTTTCCCTTCATTCTCTTGGCGGTTACGATTTGTTGTGTGGAGAGGTTGTTCGAGGACGATGAAATTTGTTTCTTTTTTCTGTTTCAGAGCTTGGCTAGGTCTTATCTCCGACGATTTGTAGGGGGGACTGGATCGTCATCAACAGCAAGCACTTTAGTGGAGGAAAAGGATCTTGGAGTTTAGGGTTTTCTTGCGTGTTTTTCTGTAATGGGCTCAACTTTCGGATTCGGCTTTTCTTTTGTTGTTGTTCTGGAGGCTCATCAGTTGCTTTATATTTTTTGTGTGTTTAGGCTTCCAGTCCTATATGTAAGTTATGTTGGTAATAAATATTTACCTTATGACAAAAGAAAAAGAAAGAGAAGGATTAGGTAGGGGTGTTGTTGGATGAGAAGATATATTGTGTAAGATAGAGGATTTGGAAGGGGTAATTTTGGAAGATTTGGTGAGTGCGGAGAGTAGATGTTTATGTTTTTTAAATCTTGTAAAGCAAAAAGAGTTTGTTGGGTGAGAAAAGATAAAAGTTGGGTGTAATCAGAAGCTCCATTTCCATTTTAACAAACATAATATTGCCTTCAGTGAATCCTATCTTTTTTCTTTTTAAAAGGGGGACAACTGGTGACAAGTCACGATTATCCACCGCTTTCAGAGGCCGAGAACACTTACAGAGGCATTTTAGCCTCCCCTGGCCACAAATCTGGCTTCCACACCAGCAGCAGGTTTCAAACCCAAGACCTCCACTTTTTAATTTGAAGGAAGTCCCGCAATCTGCCATTTACCACTGGGCCTCCAGCTCATGGTTTAGTGAGTCCTATCTGTAACAAACATAATATTGTCTTCAGTGGGTTCTATTTTGTCAAGTTATCGAATTATTTGTTCCATTTTGTTTTCGTACATATTTGCTTAACAGTGATATGTTGAGAGTATGGATCTCATATTGTCTGAGTTCTATTTTGTTTATATTGTCAATTAGTTTTATGATTGAACCTCACTACTTTTTTTATTAATTTTTTATTTATGAACAAACGACATTATCTACACTAAAGGAAAGATGGTGGGCTTAGACTCACAATAAGTTAACAATAATGTGGTTTAAATTCGTCTTTAGCGAGAATTGAATAAAAAATCTCTCACTTACAAGTGAAGAGGAATGTCATTAAACTGTAGTACGAAGTGGCGATGGAACCTCAGCTTTCGTCATGGTATCAGGGCATATTGTCTCATGTATGAAGCCCAACCCTTGACGTGCTCCATGCCACGTGGTTTGTGTTGTTCACGTGCTAAGCTTAAAAATTTGCCACACATGAAGGTGCGTATTGAGAGTATGAATTCTACATCGGATAAAAAATGACCTTACATCTGCTTATAAGTGATTAAACTGCTTCATATATTGTGGATTAATTTTACAAAGCCTCAGCTTTCTTCAGTATAACAAACTTTTAATTGAGTAGTCGATATACCAGATCAATCAAAATTAATAATAATGTGAAACAATATTCTCCCGTGCTAATATGCTAGTCATTAAAGAACAACGTTTTCCTATATAGCAGACGTCAATTGGGGCAGGTACGTGCGACGTATTTTCCTTCCATTCGTATCAAAGGTTTTTTACCGAACACATGTCCTCATATCTCTGTTAGTGTACAGTTTTCTGTTGTTGAAATGAAATTCAGCATTAATGTATACGTACGAATCTAGGGTTTTTTTTTTTGTTTTTTTTCTTCTGCAGCCCATGTTGATTGCGTGATTTAAACTTTCTTTCTAACAACATTTTTAATGGAAAAGAAAAGAATCACATTCACAATGTGTGGAAACTTGGATGGAACCCTAGAGCATCTGCATAACGCAATATAAGTACTGGCTATCAACTTTTAGTTAGCATGCATACCACAAAATAAAAGTTCCAAATCCTTTGATCTTTTGCTGGTTCTTAAGCTCGTTACTAAAATGATGCCATCCTCAGTACTTCAGGTGAAACGATTGCAGCCGGAACTTATAATTCCGGCAAAGCCAACTCCTCGAGAAACAAAGTTTCTCTCAGATATTGACGATCAGGAAGGCATGAGGTTTCAGCTTCCTATCATAATGTGCTACAAAGACAACCCTTCACTTAATGAAAATCGTAATCCCGTTAAGACGATCAGGGAAGCCTTAAGTAGAGCATTAGTGTATTACTACCCTTTAGCTGGTAGGCTTAGGGAAGGGCCTGACAGAAAGCTCATGGTCGATTGCAATGGTGAAGGTATCTTGTTCGTCGAGGCTTCTGCTAATGTCACACTTGAGCAACTAGGAGACAAAGTTCTACCCCCTTGTCCACTCTTAGAGGAGTTCTTATTTAATTTCCTAGGGTCTGATGGAATTATTGGTTGTCCCTTGCTGCTGGTTCAGGTGAGTCAATTAATATTAATTAGTTTTTCGTATTCATATTTGGTCATAACCATTAATTCTTTACAAAAAAATGAAGTAGGTTAAGGGTAAGAGTAGTGTTTTTTGCATTAAGATAGCATACATACGCCGGAGATTTTTTTGTAAGAAATTAGTGCAATCAACAACAGATGAATTTTTAATGAAAATAAGGACATAAACAAGAAAGTGCTAACAATATTGTAGATAAGTTGAAGTTTGGTGGCATCGCAACTGTTTTTAACCTTTTCATAAAATTGGCAACCTTTTTCATAAACGAAAATTTATCATATTGCCATTACACTAAAACTTGAACTTATCTACGATACTACCATGCCTCTTTGTTCTTATAATTAAAGAAAGTTCATTAGGTGGTTTTGAAAAGAAAAGATTATGAGACACATTTTGTCATTTTTCGAAATTGATTTTTCTTCAACAATCCTTATGTTTAACCCTATGTATTGTAAAATTTGTATGTACACCGGATTGAGGAAGTTACATTTCTACATGGTAATAGGTCCTAGGTTTTCTATTAGTCTCACATCACCTTTATTGCGTAGGTTCTCCTTTGTCGTTCTTCTTCTAGGTTTTTTGCCTGTCGTCATGTCATCCTCCTTGTCTTCTGTCTAAATTTTTCTATCTTCTATAAGCGTTTTGTCTAAATTCCTCTGTATTATAAAGACTCTTTCAAGTAACTACAACATGCACGAGACTCTTTCTAAATTCCTAATTAGATCATCTAATTTAGATAGTTTTTTTTTTTTTTTTTTGTCTTTTCTTCTAAGGAATTGTTAACTAGCACGAATAGGATGATCAAGAAAAAAGTCTAGTAACTAACTTTTGCAATATGCAGGTGACCCGTCTTACATGTGGAGGTTTCATACTTGCATTGCGCCTAAACCACACAATGTGTGATGCACCTGGATTTCTCCAGTTCCTGACCGCCGTTGCGGAGATGGCAAGAGGCGTAATACACGCACCATCTATTCTACCAATGTGGGAGAGAGAGCTCTTGTTCGCCCGAGATCCACCAAGAATTACATGTGCTCATCATGAATATGAAGATGTGATTGATCATTCTGATGGCTCATGCGCGTACAGTAACCAGTCAAACATGGTTCAACGATCTTTCTACTTTGGTGCCAAGGAGATGAGAGTCCTTCGAAAACAGATTCCACCCCACCTAATTTCCACTTTCTCCACATTTGACTTGATCACAGCTTGTTTGTGGAAATGTCGCACTCTTGCACTTAAAATTAATCCAAAACAGGTTGTTCGCGTTTCATGCATTGTCAATGCGCGGGGAAAGCAGAACAATGTACGTCTTCCCTTGGGATACTATGGCAATGCATTTGCATTTCCAGCTGCATTTTCAAAGGCTGAACCTCTATGCAAAAATCCTCTGGGATATGCTTTGGAGTTGGTGAAGAAGGCTAAAGCTACCATGAATGAAGAATACTTAAGATCAGTGGCTGATCTTTTGGTACTAAGAGGACGACCTCAATATTCATCGACAGGAAGTAATTTTTTAGTTTCTGATATAACGCGTGTAGGTGTTGGAGATGTCAATTTTGGATGGGGACAACCGATATTTGCTGGACCCGCCAAGGCCATGGATTTGATTAGCTTCTACATTCAACACAAAAACAACACCGAGGATGGAATATTGGTACCAATGTGCTTGCCATTCTCGGCCATGGAGAGATTTCAGCAGGAGTTAGAGAGGATTACTCTGGAACCTAAGGAGGATATATGTAACAACCTTAGATCAACTAGGATCATGTCAATGATGTAAGTGTTAAACGTAATGCACTTTCTGTAATGTAGAGTTGTGTCTCTCGAAACTAATCCAAGAGTTATGGTTGTTATCAAAAGGTCTGAATGTTATTATAAATAGCCAATAATAAGATGGCCTAGTGTTGTAATAAAAACTTGAGAGCAATAAAGTTAAGTTAATTTCAGCTCCCGTTCAAAACTCATCCTCCATATATATTTGCTTGTATTCTTTCTTTCTGCATTATAACTGAAAACTGATGATCTTTCCTCCAACAGTAAGAATCAAATTGCCCATTTGTTAGACAATTTAGTAAGATTTCATGGATTTCTTTAAGTATCATGAAAATGTCAGGAAGTTTGAGCCTTTATTTCCTCAAACCAATAAGAGCAAAATGATATATAAGCGATCGAGAACATAAAAGTAAACTAATCACACACAATGATAGGAGCTTTGCTTACTGTAGAATCAGATGGAGCAACAATTACAAGCACTCAAATATTCTTCCCTCCCACTCGTAATTTAGGGTTTTGAGATCTCCTTGGTTAGTTCATTCTAGTTAAAACTAGAAAATATGCCCGCGCTTTGCTGCGGGACCTTGAATGCATCAGTCTTAACTACATAAATAAGACACATTTAACTTGAATAAATTAAACATAATCTTGAGGGAACAAAGGAATAGATGAGTGACACATTTTCTTGATTTTTCCTGTAAAACTCAAAGTTTACTATCCAAAACCAAATAATTTGTACCATTTACATGCTTATGCAACATATGCCTTACACTGGAAAAACATAAAAAATCGAATACAAAACTGTTAACTTTTTCCAGATGCATATGTACAGTTTACCTGCACCCTCATACCATGTGTCTTGAGTTGTTATCTATCCTCCACTTGTAGCATTTTCGCCTTTCTACACGGGAAACTCGACATCAAATTATTTCATCTGTTACCGGTTAATGAAGATGTCTTCTGCACGACTGGACTACAAAGGGGGAGAAGAACAGTATTAGGAAAACACATTATACTCAAAATCATCACTAAAGATATTTTCAAACAAATCACAATCCATTACACAAAGTGGATCCAACTCCAAGGCAAGACTAAGCAAACACACAAACTCTATAAAAACCCAATAAAAGTAGAAGTGTAACAATATTGTTATGCATGTAGTTTATTCTCACAGATAATGAATATAAGAATTTGATGATCTCGTTACTCAAGCTCCAAGGAAAAATGAAATAAAATTCAATGGTTAAAGTTAATCCTTACGTAAATGCATTCCCCACATCTATATCATTCAAGTGCAACGAAATTCAATGGTTTCAACCAAAAAAAAATTCCTGATTGACTTGAGTTTAGGACATTCAAGTACAACGTAATTGAAATCTGTGCAAGAGATTCCATGAAAACATAACATACAAAAAAAACTTAATTGAAAGTAGAAAGAAAAACTTGGACATGAGAACCAATAAACACATTGTACCATAAAATGACTCTACATGAGAGAAAATAAATTATACAAATTGACATATTGGTAGAAACCCAACAAATATTTTAGAGAGAGAGAGAGAGAGAGAGAGTACCAGAGGGAGTGAGATATGGTTGTACTTGGAAAGCAAAAAATAAATTATATAAATTGACTTTAACATTTGTTGACTCTAACAAATTGATACATAATAACAGTTGTTTAGGATATAGATATGGGTGTACCTGGAAAGATTAAAATTCACCATGTAAGCCGTATTCGTGGAGGACTTGCTCTAGTTCTTCCATAGTGACATACCTGATAATTAAAGTGCATTTTGGCAACATTGTTATAAATAAGATGTTGAAATTTAAGAGCATTATGTAAAAGATATTAAAAAAAAATAAAACCCCATCTATTATGATCTCTGCATACCCTTGTTGTCTCGTAGGAGAAGCCAATGAACAGTGGCAGTAGAATCAAGCAACCAAGTTATGAAATAAGAATTTAAAATGTACCTATTTACTATGTCTGTAATGAATCTGTGAAATCAAATAGTTAAACCCTAAAAAGCACCACTGCAAATAGCATAAGAAAATTGAAATTAACCCTAAAGAAATTGGGAGAGAAGAATATGAAAAGGGAATACCTTTCGGCCCTTTGAGTTATTGGAAACAAACCCAACAGAGCAAAAGCCTCCAACTCCAAAGACTGTTGTGCGATTTTGAAGAGATCAAGAAAGAGAGAAAATATCAGAAGAAATAAAGCAAGAGAGGGGGAACCAAAAGGGGGAAGAAGAAGAAGAAGAAGCAGCAGCAAAAGCGAAGCAGAGGAAGAAGAAATAAGGGGAAAAAAGGACGACTGAAATTAAGTACGCAACCATATACTTATAATAGCAACTAACCAAATAGAACAAAAAAAAAATAAGGAGGAATGATATCAGTCACACTTACCAAGTATTGAAATATATCGAGCAACAAAGTCAGTCTTACAGTTATGTTCAATAATAGCAGTCTTGTTCTCATTCTGAGCCAGAGCCAGAAAGCCCTCAACAGCCATCTGAGATGACTTTTTCGACGCCAAAACCTTCCCTCTCCTCCTCAATTCCTTCTGAACAGCCTCTGCATTTCATTAAAGAAACCAACTTTGATAAGGATTCAAAAAATATATATATACACACATAACCGATTCAAATTAGCATAAACAAAAATGGGGAGAAAAGGGTTCTGACCAATGTCCCAATTGCATCAATGAGAGCAGCCTTAACGTCTTTGATCAGCGAACTGGTTCGCTCCCATAATTATATGGTTCTATAGGCATATTAAGACTTCAAAATAAAATCTGGCAGTTGTTTGCGCTTGTAAACAATTTCTCTTCACAAAACTACATAAATTGTAATGACCTAAGAAATCAAAATTTGATTAGGCATTAGAAACAATGTTACCTTTTGGAGAGAAGGATGCTCAACCAAATGAAAGCCCAAATTTAAAACAGCAACCGAATGAGAATATGACATTATAAAATCCGTAAGAAGCACGTAGTGCATCTAATTTAAAAAGTCTCTCACACATATGTAATTGCACATAGCGCGCAAGATTAAAAAAAAAAAACACCTTGATACCAAAGGACTGCAAAGGATTGAGATTGGTTGAGGAAATTTCCTATCATCGCATACTGACAAAACAATATAATATCCATCATACCTAGCAAATGTTTTCCCCAATTTCTTTGAAGCATCACTAAGTTTGACGCCTAAATTGTAATCAAAGAAACCGTGTTAATTATGGTGGGAACAAAATAAGAATCTCCAAATAGAAAGACAAAGAATGTAAAGTAGCAGATTGCTCACCAAAAAGCTCCAGCCCTTTCACAGTAGTGATAGAACTGCCAAGGGGGCAACATCAGATGGAGAGGGGCAAAGCAGCTGGATGCCCAGCCTTTGACACGATCTGGACGATGGAAAAAAAGGTTTGGGATTTGTCTTGCATATGATTCTCTACATTAATATGATTCATCACATGAAAATGGAAAAAAAATTGGAACTTTACACTCAAAAATTAAAAGAGCATGTTCAAAAGAGTTTTCTAATTATCTCGAGGAGAGGAGGTCACCCAACATGACCAAAAGCAATATTTCTTTTACTACAGCTATTAAACATCAATTTCCATCTGACAACAAAGCTGAAATTACATGGATAATATTTATGGTTATAAACTGAAAACACAACCTGACGTGATCCATTCATTGATAATGCACCAATTTGAAGAGCAACCACACAGGTATGGTTATATTTTCTCTCTCTGTTCACAGACAACATAAACCCATTTGTTAGTGACTCAAATAAATAACATAGAGGATGAACTAAATCTATAAAGGAAGACCTCCTTCGACCTTATGAACATATCGAGGTAGAAATTCACATAATGAAAAAGCCCTAATTTAGAAATTACCTAAGCTTTTGCAGGATGATGGTATGGTAGTGTTTTCGACGGCGGTGATGTGGCCGCGGTGGTCGCGACGGCAATGATGGGGTGACAATGGTGAATCGTGATGGTCTGAGCTACATAACTGCAAACACAAACAAAATCCCCAAAATCACAAAAAGGAAATTCGAACACAAAATCCATTTGTAAATCAAAAATCACAAAAAAGAAATTCAAACAAAACAAAAAGGAAATTAAGAGAGAAACAGAGGAGAGAGAGAGAGATCGGAGTACCGCTAGTTAAGGAGTGGACGACATTGGTTCTCGGAGCACTATAATACCTGAAGATCTCTTCCGCCGTTGGCGGACTCAAGCCCATCTCCCTGCTCCTCTCCTTCATCTCACCGAAGCTCTCGAGTTACAAAAATGGAGGCCAGTTTGTGTGGTTTTGGTTTTAAGAAGCAAGAGCTGATGCTAGGGATGGGGCAATGGTTATGGTGGGCAGGTAACCGCGGTTATTTACCCATAATCGTTTATGTTTATACCCGCATAACCGTTTACCCGTTGGGTAATTGCATAAACGGTTATACCCATACCCATAACCGTTTATAAACGATTAACCATACCTATAACCGTATACCCATTTAACTATAACCATTTACCCATTTAACCATAATCATTTACCCATTTACCCATTTATCCTTTTTTTACCCATTTACCCATTTTTCACCTATCTACATGTTTTTTTTAACAACTTGAAAATTACAAAAGAATCATAATTTTTGTTTTCTGACAATTAAACACCGTTATAGGTACATTTTAGCATGCATTTCCTTATTGTAGTCATTTAAGTCCTTATACAATTTCAATAATTGAAATAATAATTTACGAACGATATTTTTCTGCTACACCTAAGCAAATCTTTAATTATAATCCATATGATTACAAAGTAAAGCTTCTAAAAACAAAAAGTAGTCATTGTCTTGAATACTAGATGATTCAAAGCTACAAAATAACGTCAATTAACCTTGTCAGTTGTAACTTTATGGTAAAGTTAAAGGAACTAAAAGCTTCTTTCTTAACTTGAACATAACAAAATTCCAAAAGTACATAATATCAATTGGTTCACAATCTTCCACATTTTTTCAAATATTCCACAAGCACTTTTTGTCCATCGACATTTTCTCCTCCAAATAATCAAAACCAACAAAAATTCATCTCAGGTTCTTTCAATTCCAACTTCATGGCAGCAAAAAATTGACGTTAATTCTAATTTGACTTTTCATTTACTGTTTTTATTTATTTTTTTTAATTTTACATATATTAAATTAAATGGGTAAATGGATACCCGTTATAACCGTGGGTAATACCCATAACCGATGGATACCCGTTATAATCGTGGGTAATACCCATAACCGTCAATTTAAATTTCATGGATAAATGGTTATTCCCATAACTGTTTATTCATCTAAACGGTTACCCATAACCGTAACCGTGAACTTTAAATGGGCGGGTAACCACGGTTACCCAAATCCATGGGTATTTTGCCCATCACTAGCTAATGCTATTCCAGAGATGGTGTTATGGCTGCTAGGGTTAGAGATGGACAGAAACAGGAAGAGTGAGAGATGAGAGAGCGCTCGCGTAGGAGAGGAAGAGGAAGAGTGAGAGATGAGAGGAGAGCGCACGCATGTAACCTAGCAATCCGTGCTAAACCAAACGGACAAAATTACCCTCTGAACTTTTAAGAATTACCCACCCAACCCAGCCCCATATGGCTGGTAATGTTGTAAATAGCATGAAATCGAGTGGCTCCGTGTTAAACCATGTGGACAAAATAACCCTCTGAACTTTTGAGAATTACCCTCCCAACCCAGCCCATATCAGATGGGTTTCTTGCAAATAAGATGAAATCGAGGGGCATTTGTTTTACTGTAGCCATGAACAGGCCAATTGCCCACCAACTTTAGAATAGATAATTTTCAGCCCTATTTTGTTAAAAGTTTGAATTTGAATTGAGTTGAGACTCAAATTAAAGTAAATATCAATACTCGTGGGGACGACTTCATATACTTGCTCTTACTATACTACTATTGGTCTTGTCTTGTGCACCTGCAAGTTAAAGTTGGGTTTGCTTATCTGATTAATAGGTACTTCGAGGTCAAATCACCACCGCAGCAGGATTCCCTGGTTCAAGTAGTAGAGCTTAAGCGACCTACCAAACCGAAAAACATAGTAAAATAAATTACAATGTTTCACGCAAACCATTTGAGCAAGCTGAAGCCAAAAAATTGAACAACAAAAAGTCACATGCCCAAGGAAAAAAAGGGTCCAAGTAGCCAAGCCGTCAAATCCAGAATGCAAGAAACAAACATCTTAACAAATTATTTGAAGAAAAAAAAAAAAAAAAGAGGGAAGCAAAGCAATTTTTTCACATGAAATTTCAAGCAAGTAAACAGACTGAGGAAAACCGGGATGTACATCCCCATCGAGGCTCTACATAAAAAATTCCATGTAGTTTGTTAGTCCCTTTTCTTTTCAGAAAAGTTCGTTGCGATCCCATAACCTTAAGGAAAGGCTATTCCAAATGTCCAAGGAGTAGGTGTTGGAAAATATTAATATTTATGTTTATTTTAGTATTTGGGTTTTTCTTGTTAGTTTAGGATTTGGACGTAGCTCATCCTAGTTAGAGTTTCTTAGGTTTAGTTCTCTATAAATATTGCTTGTAATTTAATTTGAGAAATAAATTAGTTACAATGTAGTCTTTTAGGGTTTTGTAGCCTTTTTGGCATTCTTGTTTGTTTAATAATATTCTATTTTGTAATCTTGTTCGTGGCGCACTCTGATATACAACTTGGTATCAGAGCAGGTTTGATTCTTCGAGATTTAATTTGCTCTTGCATGTCGCGTGTCAATTTGTTGTCGTCTTCCTTTGTTTGATTGTTCTAGTTTAGATAAATTGGTGGAAGTAAAATAAATAAATAAATAAATAAAATTGTCGTTGTTCATTGTTTGTCGTTCGTAATTGTCCTGTACTCCAGCGTTTGATCTGCATCTCACCAGATGCATCACCACATCGTTTCCTGCATTGCATCCCCACACGGGCAAGGGGAAAAAATTGGTTAGAAGTCTTTGGGGTCCACTTTTGTTTGAAGTTGCAGGCCCACAATGAGTTTGTTGATGCTGTTTGGCTTGTATTGGGAGGTTTGGTGTTGCCTTCTGTGACGATTGCTCGAGTGTTTGGACTGGTGACTACTCGAGTAACGTTGTGAAAGTTGGGTTTTTTGCTTGTTTGTTCAGGCTTGTTCGAAAGCTCGCTATTGGACATGGTAGCTTGAACTTGGATTGGAAATTGGCATTAGCATTGGCATTGGCATTTCAATGGCATTGGCCCTGGCATAGCATTGGAATTTGGAATCTTGCACTTGTACCGATGAAATTTTATATTGAAATTGGCATCGTAAAATTAGCATAACAAGCTTGCATCCACATTGTCTATTGGCAAACTCATGTCGTGTACCGCCATGAATTTGACCGGGGGGGGTGTTGGAAAATATTAATATTTATGTTTATTTTAATATTTGGGTTTTCCTTGTTAGTTTAGGATTTGGGCCTAGCCCATCCTAGTTAGGGTTTCTTAGGTTTAGTTTTTTTATAAATATTGCTTGTAATTTAGTTTGAGAAATAAGTTAGTCACAATATAGCCTCTTAGGGGGTGTTTGTTTTCCTTCACTAAAGTTCACTGGACTAAGGCTTAGTCCAGTCCCGTGATTGTTCCCCATGGGGCTTAGAGTTAATAAGATTAGCTCTCACTCGCCCCGACTAAAACAGGGCCTAGCCAGTCTTAGCAAAGCCCCCTAAAAACCATGGGATTGCTAATCCTGTCTCCAAACTTGCGTAGAACGATCACATGCAGCAAGGCTTGTGAACTGCAAATCTGCAAAAATGCTTCTGGGCGACTCTGTTTGCCAACCCATATTCAGATCTGAAACCCAGCCCCACCCACTGCCTAAATCTCAACACCAAAATTCAAAAACATATATGCAAAATGATGATAAACAACAATCCCAATAGCAAAATTCTTCTTTATTCCCGAAAATTCCCATAAAATTTCCAAATTTTTTTCCTTTTCCCCAGAAAATTTCGGAAATAATGGATAGAGAAAGGGAGAGAGTAGCTTTGGGACAAAGAGATATGGAGAGATAGAGAGGGAGAGGAGAGTAGCATGGGGACGATTTGCAAGAAGAATGATTTGAAGGATGTTGTGTTGCAGGAAAAAAGATGGAGAAAGGAAGTGACGGGGATGAATTAAAGAGGAAGAAAAGGGAATAACTCTCTAGAGAGAGAGAGGTGGTGCGTGTAATTTAGAAATAAAAAGGAAAAAGCTTGATTTAGTAATAAAATATTATTGAATTAATAATAAAATATTATTACATGTGTATTATATAATATAATATTATAGTTATTAGTTATTCTGTTTTTTAGTCCGACACTGTACCAAACGCATCACTAAATCAATCCAGCTTAGTCTAGCCTAAGCCAGTCTAACCTAGTCCTTGAAGCTAGTCCAGTCCGAGATAATCCGATGCAACAAACGCACCCTTAGGGTTTTGTAGTCTTTTCGGCATTCTTGTTTGTTTAATAATATTCTATTTTGTAATCTTGTTTGTGGCGTACTCTGATATTCAACTGTAGGTTGTGTTAGGATATATTAAATAGTGTAAGATTGTGCGTTTAGTAGTTTGCTCTCCTTCATGATGCTCATATTGTCTTTGTTAGCTGTGTGCTATATAAGCTTCAATGTAATGACTTGATCATTAAGTAATCAATACAAAGAATATTCAGTCTCCTCTCTCTATATCTTTCTCTCTCTAATTCTTGATTCTCTCTATTTCTTCAATCTCTATGTACATTAACATGGTATCCATCGCCATAACTGCTTGCACAATTCTTCTCGACCCTTCTTCTACTTCCGCTCTTCAAGTTTGATCAAGAATTTCTGTTTCTTGCTTGCGATCGTGTTCTTCTTCTCTGAGCAATCGTGTGATTCAAGATTTCTTCTTTTTTCCTAATTTATAGGTACTTCGAGCTCACATAACCGAGCAAGTTTCACTGGTTCAAGTAGAGCTTAAGCGACCTACCAAACCGAAAACATAGTAAGATAAACTACAATGTTCCACGCAAACTATTTGAGCAAGCTAAAGCCAAAAAAATTGAAGAACAAGAAAGTCACATGCCAAGAAAAAAAAATCATGTAGCCAAGCCGTCAAATCCAGAATGCAAGAAACAAACATTATAATAAATTATTTGAAGGAAAAAAAAAAAAAAGGGAAGCAAAACAATAATTGGAAATGAAACTTCAAGTAGGTAAACAGGCTGAGGGAAAACAGGGCATGTACAAGCCCATCGAGGCTCTACATAAAAAGTTCCATGTCGTTTGTTAGTCCCTTGTCTTTTCAGATAAGTTTGTTGCAATCTCGTCGCATTAAAGAAAGGCTATTCCGAATGGCGATTGACATGTCCAAGGAGTGGTTTGCTCTCCTTCATGAGGCTCATATTGTCTTTGTGGTGGTCGTGGAATCGTATTCTGCGGCAAGGAGAACATGTGTAACCAGTAGACGAGGTAAGCAGCCAGTGCAGAATCAATGGTGGAGTCCCACAAGGGACACTGCCAATAAAGGCAGACTGAGAGAAGGAGGTGGTGTCGACACCCAAGCTAATATGCATACTGGAACTCTACACACCTTCTCAATGGACCGCGACAGATCGTGGTTAAAAGTGACTGCAGATCGAATATGAGAATAAATTGATGAAAGGCAGAGCCAAGCCGAAGATAGAGGAGATCGGATTTGTGGGGGATGACTGGATTTGTAGGCGTTAACTGGGGGACATGAAGATAGAGGGATGGATCTGAGGACATAATTGAGTAGGAATGATGGCAATAAGGGGGCATAGGTCACACCGATCGGGATGGATAACAGGGGGAAAACAGTAACAGAAAGGAAGGAGGGAAAAAAACAAAAGAAGATAGGAAAGGATTGCCACCGACCCTGGCCATAGCTAGGGTACGCAGCTGAACGGAAAATCAAGAAGGAAAACCTCAGACAAGAGGTGAGAAGAAGTCTCATCTAGGGAGAAAAACTCTCACTGACACAGGAGAGAAGAAGGAAAGGACTACCACCGCAGTCATCTGCGTCACAGTTGGGTGAATATTATTTATTATTATGCTTTTTGCGAGTGCAGTGGTAATGGTAGCATTAGGGTGGCTAGGGATGGGGAAGGGACCTCTCTTGTTGCGGTTGCTACTCTTCGGAGGGTACTGCTAGTCCTTTTCACGTAGAACCATTGGTCGCGTTACGAAGTGTTTAAATAGTCCTCCTATTGGGACTATGATTATCGCTCATCCTTTTTCCATGTCCTTTCACTCCCTCCTCTCACATTTTCTATTTTGTCTTTCTCTTTCTCTAAAAAATTAATATAAGATGTTGACATGGCTTAACCGTGACCTTTCAAATAGGAGAAGAGGGAAAGGGAGAGAAAAAAAGAGGGGAGAAAATCCTACTCCCTCCTATTGAGCTTTCGTATTTTCATTCAGAAAGGGATGCTTTTACAAGTGGTGTTTGTTGTTGAAAATTTTTAGCGACGTTGATGCTACTTCTTCTGCAACAATGCACATAAGATTAATACAAATTAATGATAATTTTCATTGCCACCATTTATTCAATGAAATCAACAATATATTAAATACTTATCTTTTAGGGTGTAGAAATCGCTCTCTCCCGATATTTAATTAGAACAATACTGTAAGTTGAGGCAATTTAGACACTATCTTTAAGAGTAGATTTCGTCTCCCAAAAATAATGTCTCAATGTAGTAGATTATGACGCCCTATTATGTAAAATACTACCTTTGACCCTTGTTTGTACACTTGCAACACTCGAGTTCGATTAAGAGTACTATTCTTTCATTTGGAAAATAGGAATTAGGGCAATTAGCAGAAATAATCACATTTTGATATTTGATTGCAAAATGATCATTTTTTAACAATGGTGACATATAGATTAGATATCGACGACATAAAGATGACATAACGATACCTGATCTTTCTGCAACTAAATGTCAAAAATAGATTATTCTTGCTAATTACCCTAAAAATTATACGATACACTAGCCAATGATGGGTCAAGAGAGGAGAGGACTGATGCGATAATTAATGTTTTGACCCTTCAGTATTAGCTGTCATTTCTATTAAATATCTGTCATTTCCATTTACAGGGCCATGCTGCTGCGCATCACTGAATCATAGTTGCAGTAGTACCCGATTACTAGGGTTTTCCCATATGATCCACTATATAGTGTAATGGTTCTGCCTCTTGAAGGCATATTATATATGAAATCCTCGTCTTTTTAATTTATTTTCTCTCGTATACAAATTAACGCACCAAATTGGCCTCAGAGCCAGGTTGATGGCTAGAAAAATCAAGCTCCGCAAAAGTCAAGTTCTACGTTGGTAGCTGTGGATGTTTAGCAAGAGCAGTTCGCAACTCAACTTCAGGAGATGAACGAGAAGGTGACGGCAATCTCATCACACCAAGAAGCAGATTAGTCCGGAATGGCGGAGATGCATCGGGCTATCATGTCGATGATGGTAATGTAGAACCAGTTTCAAGCATCCTGGAGCTCTCAACAAGCTGACCTCCAACTCACTATGCTGGAGGAGATGTGACAGCTGAAGACGGCTTCCCGACCTTCATCATTGGAGAGGGTCTTTCAGATTCCGTCATTTGGGTCCATTTCGTTGCCACCTTCTTTGCCAATTACAGGGGTAACATCGACGCAGCTATCAGTTCCGAATTTGTATTCGAGCAATCTGATCTTTGGGTACGCTTCAACCACCAGTTCTCCATCTCTTCCGCCAGTGACACTTCAACGGTTGTACAATGCATACTCCATCAAAATGATAGATTCACTAACACTTAGAGTTTATTTCTACTTTCATTTTTATTAAGTATAACATAAGATTTTGTGGTATCCACTAGTGTAAATATTTTAAATTGAAATTGAATTCATTCATTGTATTCATATAGGGTTAAGGAGTGTAGCTGTAAAATTCATCAAAATCGGAGTAAAATAACCATTAAATCGTAATTTTTCGTTTATAACCATTGAAAAGTTTTGTCCCATTACTTGATCTTTGAATGCTTATTTTTTGCGAATTTTGGCGTATGCGATCTCGAAGTATATACAAACAAGTTTAACGGTTGGATCTTTGAAACTAGTTTCGTAGAATGCGTATCCCATCAAGTTGAATGGTATATTTATTTATTAAGTAGCTTTAAATTTATTTATTTTGTACGTATAACACTTAAGAAATTAAATGATATATATTTATTAAGTAGCTTTAAATTTATTATTGTAGTTTGGATCGGGTTTTTGATAGAAAAATATATTATTGTGGGTTTTATGTAAAAAAAATTAAATTTGAAGGGAATAAAGTTAAATTTTCAGTAAACTTTATAATATATTTAAAAAAAATAATAATTACCTTGTGCGACGCATCAGCCAATCCATCGCGCAAACAACCTTTGCGCAGCGCATTAACTGGTACGTCGCCAAAAACACTTTGCGCGACGTGGTTATTCCGTCGCGCAAACACATTTTGCATGACGTATTGGTTGGTGCGTCGCACAAAGTGTGTTTGCCCAACGAAATAACCGCGTCTCGCAAAATGTTTTTGCGCGACGAATACATGCATCGCCCAAGTTGTTAAAAATTTGGCCATCCAACTGAAAAAAATAGGCAATGTTTTTAAAATTTTCCCAAATTACTCATAATTAGGGGTGGTTACCGAATCGAAACCCTTGTCCTGATTCCCAAACCGAAATTTTTGGAAATCCCAATTTCAATACTGATCCCAAACCAATTTTTCGGGAATCCCGAAATAGTTTCGGGATTTCGAGACAAATCGAGAATCCCGAAATGGTTTTGGGCTTTTGGACTAAAATTTGACATATTATGCTTTTGGGCTAAAATTCAACCTTTTATATTGAAAATTTGACATATAGCCAGGCTGCCAATCTGCTAGTCTGTTGGACTAAAATTTGACATACAAGTATACAACCAATCTGCCAATATGTGCACAATAGCATCTATGATCTGCCTATTCAATTTCTACTAATAGCAATATAAAATTTCGGGCTATATGTCGAGAGACAAATGCTCCTCCTCCACTATCTATGATGGATGAGAAGTCAAGAGAGACTGAGAGAGAGATCAGAGAGGTGATAGTCGAGAGAGAGGTGAGTCGTGACATAGGTGAGACACTTATGTGGCCGGATTCGAAAACATAGAGGGAAATCGGCAAGGAGGGTGGTGATGGTGAGCGAGGTTGAGTCTAAGGTCAAAAAGGGTGAGTGTGGCTGCGTGAGTCGTGGTGTGAGTGAGTGAGTTCTGTTGTTGTTCTGAGTATGTTTGATAATATTCAACGGTTGAGATTAAATTTTCAATCGAATCTGACGGCTATTAAAATTCTACATATATATTTTTTATTTCGGTTCGGTTTGGGATTACAGAAATCCTAAAAACTTGAGATCAATTCCGGTACCAAAATTTCGGGATCGGTTCGGTATTGGGTACCAAAATTTTTGGGATTTTCGGTTTGAAATTTTTTCGGTTCGGTTCCGGGATTTTTTCAATTTGCTTTGGGATTTTTGGAATTTTTTTCCAGCCCTAAATGGAGGTGCAATTGGAAGAGTCCAGACACTACCCTCTCGCTCACTCAGTCTCTCTCTTCCCTCTCGCTCATCTCGCCCTCTCTCTCACTCTATCTCGCTCTTCTCTCCTACTCCGTTAGACGAAGACAAAGACGAAGGAAGACGGCAGCCACTACTGGTAGGTTCCAGCAGCACCCAAAGACAGAATGGCAGAGAAAGGAAATACAGAGAAATTATAAAAGTGCTTTTTCATTCATATCTCAAAAGGGGAACACAAGGGGATTGTATACCCACCACAGACACTACAGACAAAAGGTTAGGTGCACTATTGATGAGTCACTACGTACTACCATTCCACTACTAGACAAGGCATTTAACAAAAGGTAATAGCTGAGATGGACTAGAATCCTAACAGGGCACCCCCCGTATAAGAAGCCTGTCCTCAGGCGTTGAACTCTGGAAAACGACGCACGATGGAGTCTGCATCTTCCCAAGTGGCGTCGTGTTCGGGCAGCCCTTGCCATTTGATCAACCAGCGGGTGACAGCTTTGTTGGCCTTTTTGAACATACCACGTTGGAGGACCAGTTCAGGGAACCACAGGAAAGAGCCATCAGCAGCGATGGGTGGCAGGATTGCAGAGGCAACCGCATGTGTACCCAGTTTCGGCTTGAGCAGCGACACGTGAAAAGTGGGGTGAATGCGGGATTGAGGGGGAAGGTCCAATGTGTAGGCAACCGGGCCGACGCGGGCGAGCACCTGGAAGGGCCCGTAATAGCGGGGTGCGAGCTTGGGGCAGTGAGTCTTGGAGACAGAGGTTTGGCGATACGGTTGGAGTTTGAGGAACACCCAATCTCCGACCGTAAAAACTCTTTCCGATCTGTGCTTGTCGGCTTGTTGACGCATTCGATGTTGGGCCAGTTGCAAATTCTCCCGCAAATGCTTGAGGAGAGTGTCCCTATCTTTGAGAGTGACATCCACTAAGTGTACCGGTGAGGAACCTGGAAGGTACGATGAAACTGTTGGAGGAGGATAACCATAGACGGCCTGGAATGGCGTCATCTTGATGGCTGACTGAAAGGTAGTATTATACCACCATTCGGCCCAAGGAAGCTAACGAACCCAAGTATTCGGTTTGTCCATGACAAAGCTGCGCAAATATTGCTCCAACGTGCGGTTAAGAACCTCCGTTTGCCCGTCCGATTGAGGATGATATGCCGAGCTTTTGCAAAGGGCAGTTTGTTGGTGTTTGAAGAAGGCCGTCCAAAATGCACTCAGAAAAATGGGGTCACGGTCACTGACAATGGACGCCGGCATACCGTGCAACCGAAACACCTCTTGAATGAACACCTCGGCAATTTGGGGGGCGGAATATGGGTGCTTGATAGGGATGAAGTGCCCGTACTTGGAGAGACGGTCCACTACCACCAATATAGCATTTCGACCATGGCCCGAGGGAAGACCTTCGACAAAGTCCATGGCAATATCTGTCCATACTTGTGCCGGAATGGGTAGGGGCTGCAAAGGACCTGGGGGTTTAATTGTTTCGTAATGGGTGCGTTGGCAAACATCACAAGCAGCCACAAAGTTCTTGACCTCCTTTTTGAGTCCGGGCCAATTGAAGTTATGGGTGAGGCGCTTGTAGGTGCGCAAAAAGCCTGAGTGGCCCGAAGAAGGAGAAGCGTGGAACTCGTGGAGAAGTTGGGAGCGCCACGGGGACGTAGCGGGAACGAAGAGCCCGGACTTGTAATAGAGAAGGTCGCCCTGCAACTGGAAGGAACCTTTGCGGTGAGGATCGTGCGGCAACGCCTGAATCACCTCGGCGGTGTGAGGGTCGGTTGCATATGCTGCTTGAATGTCAGCAACACAATCAAAGAGTGGTTGCGACAGACCCATCAAGGAGAGGAGCTCGGGCCTACGGGATAAGGCATCGGCGGCGGCGTTGGACGCCCCGGGTCGGTAAGCCAAAGTGTAGTTGTACCCAAGGAGTTTCAGCAGCCATTTTTGTTGGGCTGGAGTTGTGATGCGTTGGTCCAAGAAATACTTGAGAGTTTGGTGGTCCGTGAGAATGGTGAAGTGGTGGCCCATTAAGTAAGAACGCCATTTCTGTACGGCAAATACCACTGCGAGCATTTCCTTGTCATACACCGAGAGGGAGTGGTGTTTGGGTGCCAAAGGCTTGCTAAGGAACTCAATTGGATGATGCTCTTGGGATAGGACGACACCAATGCCGGAGTTGGATGCGTCGCACTCCAAGGTGAAAGGCTTGGTGAAATCTGGAAGCGCTAGTACCGGAGTTGTAGACAATGCTACCTTGAGGGCCGAGAAGGCTGTGTCTGAGGCGGGAGACCATGAGAAGCTATCTTTCTTGAGTAAGTCCGTGAGAGGCTTGGCAATGAGACCAAAATGGTGAACGAACTTACGGTAATAGCCGGCGAGGCCCAAGAACCCACGGAGAGCACGGACGCTCGAAGGAGTCGGCCATTCAACAATTGCTGCGATTTTGGAGGGGTCTACGGTCACCTCAGAAGCTGAAATGATATGGCCCAAATAAGCAATGGAAGATTGCCCAAAGCTACACTTTGATGGTTTCAAACGGAGATGATTCTGTTGGAGAATATCAAATACAGCAGTTAAATGTGAGATATGGTTATCCAAGGAATCACTGAAGACTAAGATATCATCAAAAAAAACAAGAACAGATTTCCGTAGTAGTGGCTTGAGGATGGTATTCATCAAGGCTTGGAAGGTGGCCGGCGCGTTGGTGAGACCGAAGGGCATGACGGTGAATTCGTAATGGCCCTCATGGGTACGGAACGCTGTCTTGTGGATGTCCGGTTCGTACATGCAGATTTGGTGGTACCCAGAGCGGAGATCCAATTTAGAAAAGATCACCGCGCCATGCAATTCCGCTAAGAGCTCATCGATAATGGGAACCGGAAAGCAATCTTTAATTGTGACGGCATTGATCGCTCTATAATCCACACAGAAGCGCCATGTGGAGTCGGTTTTGGCCACCAACAGTGCTGGAGAAGCAAACGGACTCATGCTAGGACGGATGATGCCTGTGGCGAGCATTTCGTCGACTTGGCGCTCGAGTTCAGCCTTTTGGGCATGCCCATAACGATATGGCCGAACATTGATTGGGCCGGTGCCGGGAAGTAATGGGATCCTGTGATCGATCGCCCGGTGTGGAGGTAAAGAGGATGGTGGTTGAAAGAGTTCTTGATATCGGGTGAGGAGAGACTGAATGCAGGCGGGTGGGGGAAGAGAAGAGCTCTCTGTTGTGGTGAGACTGGCCAGGTGCGGTAGGGCTCGTCGAGACGACTCACCCAAAGTAGTGGCAGGCGGCTGCACTGGGGCGGAAAGGGCAGGTGAGGTGGACATGCCCACCAACCGATAGTTCGTTCCGTGCACGGAGAACTCCATGATCCTGAGTAAAAAGTTCCAACCGATGAGACCCAAGGTCTCTAACCAATCCACACCGAGTACCATATCGCAGCCCGTCACCGCTAGGAGGTGGAAATCGCTAGTAAATGTATAGTCCTGAAGGCGCATCAGAACTTGGTGAGCGACTCCCTTGGTGCGGAAACAACACCCCGTAGCCACCATAACTGCTTCGGTTCTAGCAGTGTCCACCTGGAGTCCCAAGCGAGCCGCCACTTGTGGATTGAGGAAACTTTGATCGGCCCCGGAGTCAATAAACACGTGAACTGGAGTGTGGCGAATGAAGCCCTCCAAGCGCATAGCGCGACCTCGGGCACGTTTTGTGGCGGATATTGCGTTGAGAGCGATGGGGTGCTCAGGTTGTTCAACCGGAGGGGAAGGAGGCGGGGTGGGGTCCCGAGTCTCTGGAAGGAGCGCCTGGTCATCCTCATCCGTCAACAACATGAGAATGTGGGTCTGGCGGCACCGGTGGCCAGGACGATATTGGTCGTCACAGTTGAAACAGAGCCCTTGCTCTCGACGGGTACGCATCTCAGCCTGTGTGAGCCGTAAAATTGGTTTAGGTGGTGGAGGGCCGGTGGCTGATGGGAGGGGTCGAGAGGTAGGGGTTGGGGAAGAAGGGTTGGGTGGTAAGGAAAGTTGGGGTTTAGGACTGTATGTGGAGGAACGGAAATTCCCAGAACGAGGCCCCGGGCGGCGGCTCTGTTTGTGCTCGTAGATGCGAGCTAATTCGATCGCCCTTGCCAGTGAGAATGGTCCTTGGGCCACGACATCATCCTGCAACTCGTCTTTGAGGCCGCCCAAGAACGCTCCCAATAATTGAGCATCTGTCCAGTCTGGAGTACGGCACGAGAGGCGAATAAACTGACCGACATAGGCCTCCACAGTGGTGGTTTGGGTAATGTGCGACAGGGCCATGTTGAAGTTCATGGCGTCGGTCGGTCCGAATCGCTGCAGCAGTTGGGTAGTGAAGGTGACCCAAGAAGATAGAGGGAACCTCATTTTGTACCAACGGAGCCAATGGGCCGCATCGCCGCTCAGGTGTAGGCCGGCTACTGTGACGCGACGGTGCTCGGAGATCTCGTGATAGTCTAAGAATTCCTCTGCCATGGCCAGCCACCCGTATGGGTCGTCCCCAAAAAAACGAGGAAGGTCAATCTTGAAGGTTTTGGGGCTAGAGAATGGCGGAGAAGAGGGTGGTGGTGGGTGTCCTGAGTAAGTTTCGTGGGTGAAGGAAGAGGGTTTGGGGCCAGAGGAGGGTGGGGGAAGGTAACGGGAGGTGGAGGTGTGGCTTACTGAGTGGGTGGGGGTAGATATGAGGGGTGTGAAGGGAAGGGACGAGGGACCTGCGACCATATGCGGAGCCGGAGGGTGGGTTACGGTTACTGTTGGGGACGTGGAGAAACCCCATGTGGGTGGGGGAATGGGAGTATGGACGGCGGAGAAGGGTGTGGGTCCGAGAGAGATGGGGATAGAACCGATTGGGATTTGGGGGCTGGGTTGGGGTTTTGTTTTTAGGGCTCGAATCTCGTCAAGAATTGTCTGTTGTACCTGGTCTTGACGAATCCGGTGGGCCGAGAGATCGGCGATGGCTTGTTGGAGGTCATCCTGGCGGAGGTTCACCATGGAAAAAGACTCTTGAAAATCTTGCAGCTGAGTGAGGATTTGGTGGTGCTGAAACTCACGGTCCAGTTCATCCTCGGTCACGTCGGCGACCGTGACAGATGCCTTACTTTTGCCCATGGATGCACACCAGGGCTCTGGATACCAAATGGTAGGTTCCAGCAGCACCCAAAGACAGAATGGCAGAGAAAGGAAATACAGAGAAATTATAAAAGTGCTTTTTCATTCATATCTCAAAAGGGGAAACACAAGGGGATTGTATACCCACCACAGACACTACAGACAAAAGGTTAGGTGCACTATTGATGAGTCACTACGTACTACCATTCCACTACTAGACAAGGCATTTAACAAAAGGTAATAGCTGAGATGGACTAGAATCCTAACAACTACACACTTATCTGCTCCTCCTCCACTCCAACCTCCGTCAGAATTCTCGCCGTTTCTTTGATTCTGAAGGTCCCTTCACATCTATCTCTCTCAATGTTTTGCTTTTTGCTTTAATTGTTCAACATATGATAATTAGGGTTTTATTTGGTGAGTGTTACAATGACCAATACGTTCTTCCACTATTTTGTGACGAAGAAATTCTGATAGGGTCGATTGCAAAGAAGGGGTTGCAGCAGTACTTGCTTCAGCTTCAACATCACCCAGAACCAAGGTCAAATTCTATGCCTTTCATCAAATTATCAGTCTCACTTTTATTCTGGGATATCTTGATTTCCTCTGTTTTCTATATTAAAACCCTGTTTGGATCCCGAGAAAGTTGAGGAAACCCCTAAAGATTGAATTTTTTTTTTTGTATGTCTAGATTGCTTTCTCATCTAGGTTTTTTCAAAGATGATGTATTTTCAGCTCGTATTCCTTAATTGTGATTAGTAGTTAATTGGTTTTTCGAGCTGAGTAATATGAGTGTAACAAGTTGTTAATTGGGATTTTTTTTGGTGATCTTCATTTCATTTGATATCCGAACAGGCAATTACAGTGGAGGTTTTGTCAATGATCAGTGACATAGTGTTGCAGAAGCTCATCGGTATTCAGAAACTTCAGATAAGACGGCTCCTTCTCAAAGTGGTAAGGTCTATTAGGATTTCCATATCGACGATTTTATGAAAAGTTTGTATCTGTGATCTGTGTATGTGTGCACACTGTATATGAAAGAAAGAGTGATTTTTTGAAAGTAGTAAAGTTGGGTTTAAACTCGTTTTTCGATCATTTGAACCTAATTTTTATACTTTTTGTCGAAAAAAGATGTCTACTAGCATTTGCTATGAAACTGAAGTGTTTGTAGATTCACTTTCTCACAGATGTTCGATTATGAATTATATATTTGAGAAACCTTGTGTGAAACTGATTTCTCTCTCCACTCCGTTAGAAGAAGACAAAGACGAAGGAAGACAGCAGCCACTACCCACCCATCTGCTTCTTCCTTCCACTCCACCCTCCGTCGGAATTCCTCTCTGTTTCCTCATTTCTGAAGGTCCCTTCACATCTCTTTCTGAATGTTTTGCTAGGTCCAGATTTCAATTTTTTAGTTTGTGTAATTAGATTTCAATTTCTGGAAATAGGTTGCTGTAAAATTTATGGGGTAGTAGAATTTGGTATGCTATAAAGTGTTTCTTGATATTATGAATTTCTGGAAATAGGTTGCTGTAAAAAATTTACAGATGTTCGTTTTGTGAATTGGGTGTATGAATGATTTGTTGGTTTTGGTCTCTTCTAATACCATGTCTTCTATTTTTGTGTTTTTCTTGTGTGTTTTTGCCGGCAGAGGATCCAGGAGTTTAGGGTTTTTCTTGTGTGTTTTTCCATATTGGGCTCAGCTATCTGGTTGGGCTTCTCTTTTGCTGTTGTTTTGGAAGCTCATATATGTTGCTTTGTATTTTCTGTGTTTGGGCCTTCAATTAAACCCCACAATCTTATGAAGACATCTCACACTTAAAATTTGTCAAGTGAACTTTCTCTTTTATCCCTATTTGAATTAAGGTGAGAAAAAGAAAATCCAACCATCCTATTATTTGCCGGCAGGCAACAACCTCACACACATCCACTCACCATGGCACCACCTTTTCTAAAGTTCATATTCTCGTTCATATGAATTCTCTGTCATTGATATATGGTATCAATTGCCAAGACAATTAGTGCTTGTTGATTTAATATGTAGTTCTGCACTTCTAATTTTTCATTTTATAAAGTGTGTGTTTCTACAATTCTCTGCGAGTATACACCCCTAGAATTTGGGGATTTTCTTGCTTAATTGAAATGAAGGACTATTACATTCTTTTGTATTTTCTTTGGAAACGAGCTTGGTGAGTTTGGGTGTTGGGACTCACAGGGTGTTAAGGAGAGGAGGAGAGAGATCGGAGATACTACGTTGATGGGGTTTTGGGATGGGTGCTCGTCAAACGGAGATGTTTGGTGTTCTTTTTTGTTTTTGGGGTGGGGTGGCTTCAGAACTATGAGGGACAAAGCTGGAATTTTTGAGGAAATTTTTGGATGTGAGGTGGATTCATAACATTGCGGGATGTCTATAAAACAACCTAAAAAAAATGATAAAAGAAGGATTAGGAAGGGTTGTTGTTGGATGAGCAGATATATCGTGTACGATAGAGAAGGACTAGAAAGGGGTAATCAGAAGCTTGATTTCCATTTTAACAGATATATCGTGTGGAGAGTAGATGTTAAGTTTTTAAAATCTTATAGAATAAAAAGAGTTTGTTGGGTTAGAAGAGATAAAAGTTGGGTGTAATCAGAAGCTCCATTTCCATTTTAACAAACATAATATTGTCTTGAGTACTCGAGTCCTATTTTTAAGAAACATAATATTGTCTTGAGTGAGTCCTACTTTGTCAAGTGAATTATTTGGTCCATTTTGTGGTTGTACATATTTGCTTTAGTGAAATGTTGAGAGTATATCGCGTAAAGGAATGACCTTGCATGTATTTATAAATAATTGAGTTACTTCTCATATTGCCAATTAGTTTTATAGTGGAACTTCAACTTTTGTCATAGTATCAGAGCAGATTATTCCATGTGTGAAGTCCAACACTTGCATGTGCTCCATGCCACTTGGGCTAAGCTTGAAATTCGTCATACGTATTGAAGATGCGTATTGAAAGTATGAATTATACATCAGATAAAAAAGGGTTTTGTAATTCAGATAAAAAAGGATTTTGTATGTACTTATAAGTGATTAAGTGCTCCCTATGTTATCGGTTAATTTTATAATGGAGCCTGGGTTTTCTTCATCATAACGACCATTTATCATTAGAGAAATGAGTAATCAACATATCACATCAGTCTCTATAGTATAATGAAGAAGAACGTAATCATTTGAAGACGTGTCAAAATGAATAATAATGTTTCACATTATTCTCCTGTGATAACATGATATAACAACGTTTTTATGAACGATACTTGGCTACTCAAAGATTAGTATAAACTCTTACTCAAAATTCTTAGTATTTTAATCACAGAGCTTTGTGCTTATAATCAGAATTGTTCATACTATGAATCACACTGTAAAGATCATATGTGCAAAAAATAAATTAAAAGTAAGGCCGTTTAGTCAATCTATTGTAGAAAATACATAGACAGTTCGTAATACTTTTATGATACCGTTCATTTGTTTTTAAGCAATTTAAAGACTAAACGACTTTAGTTGTAATTGAGTTTTTGCAGATGTGATCCTTATAGGGTGATTTATAATATGAACGGTTTTAATTATAAACATGAAGTTCTATAAATTGACAATGAATAATTTAGAGAAATTTTGAGTACGAATTCTTACTCATCTTTGAGTAATCAAGTATTGTTTCGTTTTTATAGCAAACGTCTGATGTCTTAGAACAGTGATAGCTGTAATGTGAGGCAGATACAATGTTGGCCTTTTTTCCTTTGATTTCTATCGAAGGTTTTTACCGAATACCTGTCCTCATATCTCTGTTTGTATACAGTTTTCTGATGTTGAAATGAAATTCAGTATTAATGTATATACATGAATCTGAGGTGTGATTTACACGTTTCTTTCTAACCACATTTTTTTTAATGGAAAAGAAAAGAATCACAACTGGAGTGGAAACTTGGACGAAAGATTGGGGGAACCCTAGAGCATCTGCATAACGCAATATAAGATTGAGGTTTTAGGTTCTAGTCATAATGTGTTACAAGAATAACCCTTCACTGAAAGAAAATCATGATCCCGTTAAGGTGATTAGGGAAGCCTTAAGTAGGGCACTAGTGTATTACTACCCTTTAGCTGGGAGGCTTAGGGAAGGGCCTAACATAAAGCTTAGGGTCGATTGCAATGGTTAAGGTATCTTGTTCATCAAGGTTTTTGCTGATGTCACACTTGAGCAACTAGGAGACAAAATTCTACCTCCTTGTCCACTATTAGAGGAGTTCTTATTTAATTTTCCAAACTCTGATGGAATTATTGATTGTCCTTTGGTAATGGATCAAGTGAATCAATTAATTATTAATTACATGTTAATTAGTATTTTGTATTCATATTTGGTCATTGCCATATTAATTCTTTACAAAAAAAATTTAAGTAGGTTAAGGATAAGAGTAGTGTTTTTTGCGTTAAGATCGCATACACATGTTGGAGATTTTTTTTGTAAGAAATTAGTTCAATGGGCAACATATGAAATTTTTAATAACAAATAAAGGCATAAACAAGAAAGCGCTAACAATATTGTAAATAAGTCGAAGTTCGGTGGTTTTTAACTTTTTTCATAAAATTGGCAATCCTTTTCATAACCGAAAATTTATCATGCTACCACCACATCCAAACTTGAACTTATCTATGATACTACCATGCTTCTTTGTTCTTATGATTAAAGAAAATTCATTAGGTGGTTTTGGAAAGAAAATATAATGAGACGATTTTCATTATTTTTTTAAACTAATTTTTTTCAACAGTCCTTATGTTTAACCCTATATATTGCAAAATTTGTATATACAACGAATCGAGGAAATTATATTTCTACATGGTATCTGCCTGATTAGGTCCTAGGTTCTTTTTACCAGTCTCATATCACCTTTAGCGTCTGGGCTTTCCTTTGCCGTTCTTCTTCTAGGGTTTTTGTCTGTCGTCATGTCGTTCTCTTCTTCTTTTGTCTAAATTTTTTTTTCTTCTTGAAGTGTTTTGTCTAAATTCCTCTATATTTAAAGACTCTTTCAAGTAATAAATGACCACAGGCACGAGACTCTTCCAAAGAGACTCCATCTTTCTTGAATTTTATTCCTAATTTTTATGAAATTTTTGTTTCCTAATTAGATCACCTAATTTAGATTTTTTTTTTTTCTTTTTCCTTCTAAAGAATTGTGAACTACCACGAATATGATGATTAAGAAAAAAGCCTAGTAACTAATTTTTGCAATATGCAGGTGACCCATCTTACATGTGGAGGTTTCATACTTGCATTGCGCCTAAACCACACAATGTGTGATGCACCTGGACTGCATCTGTTCCTGAACGCCATTGCGGAGATGGCAAGAGGCGAACATGCACCATCTATTCTACCAGTGTGGGAGAGAGAGAGCTCTTGTTCACTTGAGATCCACCAAGAATTACATGTGCTCATCATGAATATGAAGATGTGATTGATCATTCTGATGGCTCATACGCATCCAGTAACCAGTCAAACATGGTTCAACGATCTTTCTACTTTGGTGCCAAGGAGATGAGAGTCCTTCGAAAGCAGATTCCACCCCACCTAATTTCCACTTGCTCCACATTTGACTTGATCACAGCTTGTTTGTAGAAATGTCGCACTCTAGCACCTAAAATTAATCCAAAACAGGCTGTTCGCATTTCATGCATTGTTAATGCACGGGGAAAGCACTGTTGGAGCAATATTAGAAAATATGAAAAATAACAATATAATTCCAATGATAATAATCATAAAGAAAATCACAACATCAATTATATATGAGATTAATATAAACAACTAGGGAGAAAGTTAGAAATACTAACAAACTTGGAGATTGAGGCTTGCATAAATGCAATGTCCTAAAGACAGAATTTCGCCTCTACTCTTGCACTTGTAGTTTGGTAGGCGTTTGTCTCCCAGGATTCAACAATCTATAATCTGAAGTCAAAGCACTTCAATCTTCGGACTCTGGCGAACTTCATATATTCCGTACTCTCAAGACACGACTTGGAATTTGACACACGAAGCATGAGAGAAATAAAGTGGGGAAACCCTATTTCTCAAGAGTAAAAATTAACTCTAATTTCTATATTAATGATGATAGTTTCATGAGTTTATAAAGAACCCAAGTACTCCTTGTTAAAGTGATGTTACTTTTCATCTATAAGTATACATCATTTAACAAGGGAATGCACCTAAATAACA